TATATATTAAATATGTGATGTTAAAAATTGATAAATCACCAAAAATTTTGTGTGTTTTGTTAATTTATTATTTCTATTTAAGTCTTAAAAATTTTTCTCTGTGCGGGAGACTTCGTGTGACAGCTTAATTAAATGATATGCAACGCCTTTAAAGTTGGCCAGTTGGCCGCCATTTTCCCAGGAAGATCCCAGTCCAACCCCGGTGACCAGAAACTATCTACGCAATCGGCTTGCTAGGGCCCTGAGGCCATCCAGCGGTACGCTTTGTTATGCTAAAGACAAAATTATAAAAAAAGAAAACATCAAATATAAAGGCAACAAATTCAATTAGCAGACTGCGCAATGATTCCGCCCGGAGGCGAAAATCCGCAGATGCAGCTTCCACCACTTCCGACGTGGCAGGATGAGAATGTTTCCCGCTGCAAAGGAGATCCTCCCTCCAATCAAGGAAACTTTCTCAGGCGACTAGCTCTATTTTTTATACATTTCTAAAATAAGTTTAAAGTTTAAAGGTTACAAAGACACATTAAATTAATAAAACCGCCAAAGAAAATGCTCCTCAGACCAAGGAATCTTTCTCAGACAACGACCCCTATTTTAATTGTATATTTTTTATTGTTAACTAAGAGAACTCACAAGAAGCTGCCATCCCGGTGGTCCAGCTTTTGATTGCAAGTCCTTGAGCCTGAGTCCTGGAAAACTGTCGCAGATCGTATAACACTTGCTAGGCTGTCAATATATTCGATGCCAGCGCGCACTTTCCAGTGAACTCTCTGGGACAAAGGGATCACTCAATCCCTCGATCCGGCGAATAATGCGGGCAATCGCAACTTTCTTGAGGTTAAACGCAAGTTGCTCTCGAGATCCTTGAAGGACATTGTTCGGCGACTCGACGGCTCAGCGGATTTGCCCTTAAAATTTTTCTCACCTCCAGGAGGTCCACTCATCGCCGTTCCTTGCCTATTGTCCCGTCCTCCGATGGCAACAATCAAAAGGATGTGCACAGATTTGCAGGGACTTAGACTCGGGGCATCAAGTACTTAGGGGCCTTTAAAAAAAGGAGAGACATAATGGTACGAGGACCACGCTTCGCTGATCCTGCAACGCGATGTCCTCGCCCTAATCGCTTTGGATAGTAGTAATGATTCTGATCGATCCTGATCGCCTAAGAAAGCCATGAGACTCCTCTGGCAGCTGCTTAGTCTCAAGTGTCCCTTAATGAGGTTTAGGAATCGCACGTTTTTTATAATAGTTCCCATAAAGCTTCACCCAAACAATAAAAATCAAATCAGGGTGTTACATTAATTCCTTTTGAGAGAAGATGTTCAAACAGAAAGGAATTTTGAGAAATCAGAAGGGCATTAATATTAAAGATCTATAATTATGGCTGAAATTAAAGTTATTCCTGTTTCCCTCAATTTACAAATTGCTATATTATCCTTTTCCCCTTTTTACCACCGAGACATAAAGTCTCAACCACACACAATGGGCTATAAGTATAGAATATTGTTTGCTTAAATACATGGATATATATAACTATATATTCCTCTATTCTCAAATTATGCGGCTAAGCGTCAAAGACAATGCCGCCGTTGGTGTGTATGCAAATACAAAGAATTCCGTGGAATTTTCTGACGAAAAATTTGCCATTTGCCCACTAAAGTAAGTTAAGCGGAACTTAGGGGCACTAAGCAAGGCTCAGACCAGGTTTTGGTCTTGGTCCTGGCTTACATGCCGGTGTATAAGCCACACAGGAACAATTATAAGGCAGGCATCCTGCTTATCTGGGCGGCAGATATATATATATACACTGGTCAAAAATTGATCTGGCGATAAATCGAGCTACTCAATTTACAAAAACATCGCCGCCGCCGGGGCTGCCGCTTTGACTTTTGCTGGCCGCAGGACCATCGCAGGATCGCTGGATCGCCAGACCGCTGGATCGTCGTCCTGACTCCAGGTACAACAATCGGGGACAATCGGAAGCCGGATTTGGCAAAATATGCTAGCTCTGGGCGAACAGGCTCAAACGGATGTTTAATATTTTGGCTTAGAGACATTCTCATTACATTTGAAAACAACAGCGGCAGAGGCAGATCCTCGGGCCTGGGATTTGGGCATTTAGCAAAAGGGTAATCCTGCCCATTAAAATCTATTTGCATACTCATATTTTTGTTTCTCTAGGTAATTGCGCCTGGATAAGGATCAGAGCGGCACAGGGAGATTGAGAGAGGGAGAGAGTGAGCCATGGGTGTCCTGTGGGCTAAGCTTGCGAAAGACATGGAAACCCTCTAACCTGTTGGCACACCTGTCCTAAACGAATCCTGGGACGTACCCGCTTACGCGAACTGCGCTAATCGGCCGATTCATTGAGCCCTTCTGCGGATTACTTAATCGGTGAAAATCTATGAATTAAATGCGTCACCCGAAATCCGCCAGCTTCCCTCACTTGTTCCCGATTTTCCCCAGAAATCCAGCCACTTGAGATTCGCTTCAAGACCGCGCCCTTTTTAGACCCTTTCTCGAGAGAATAAAGCTCCCAGATTTAATGAAGTTCATCTGGGGCACAAGTTAGTCCCACTAGGAGTCTTCTGGTTTAAGTTTAATTCCTAGCTAAGTTCTAGGATTCTTTGGAGACATTTTAAGAATGAGATCAAAGTACTTACCCAGGAGAGAAGCTCAGATTAATATGGAAAAGGCAGAGAAGTAAGTCAAAGTACATAGTCTTGTTATGAATTTTAAATTTCAAAATTAAATAAATTTATTTAAAAATATTCCTGAAAATAAATAAATTACTTATGGTATCAAAGGGTAATAGATGTGCAATTTTATTATATTTAAGATCTAAAATAAAACTATTATAATTATATTCAAACTGGTGACGTTTTATGACTTGATCTCTTCTTTATATAAAACATAACTTTTAGATTCTTTAATCTCTTGTTTATGACAAATATTTAAAAAAAGTATTAGCTTCACAAAAAACTTGTATAAAAAACCCTAAAAAAGCTTTATTTTGTGTCAAATTTTAAAACCAGTTTGTAAGAAGATTGCCAATGTACCAAGTACCCACCAAAGTCGATGTCCAAGATAACGCTAGGATAAAGACATAGCCTCTCGTCAGAAGGGGGACATTATAGAAATCAAAAAGTGAAAAAAATGTGAAAATCCTTTGCTCGAAGAGAGTGCAAAAAAAATACCAGGGGAAAACTGCAAATTAAGACCCAAACAATGCCGGAAGAACAATGTGCAGAAAAACGTCACTGATGACAGAATGATGAGGATTAGGCCAACACACATGGAAAAAGGACTGCTGGTGATGCTGCTGTTTCTGCTGTTCCTGGTGCCTGAGTCTATTAAAAGTCTAAAGGCAGATAATAAAGGGCCATTAGGACTTAAAAGGGCTCAACGGCGCGGAGGGAGCGAAATGGAAATATCGTAGAGTATAGAAGAGGAACTGTTGTTACCCCGGGTTCAACAGCATCCAGGACACGGCACCCAGAGGTCCTTGCCAAAGTCGAAATGGCAGCACCAACGAAGCATGCTTAATTCCCAATCCCAATCCCCGCAGGATGTGCTCTGCCGTGGTTGGATCGGACTCAGGACTCGGAGTTTGGAGAAAACTTAGGGTAGGTTTCCTTCACTCTGTATCGGATGTGTGTCAGTGGAATATATACTCATCTCTGTGTTTGCTTTGGCCAACGCAATTTGAACAATTTGGCAACTGTTCGGTTCTGTTCTGTGTGTATGTGTGCTCTTCTCCTTGAGTTTTGTTTGTTCAGCCTTCGCCGGGCGAAAACTCATTTTCATTTTCATTTTCGTCCGGCTGCGCTGGCTATTGTGAAAGGATTCATTGCCATTGTCCTCCGAGGATAGCAGCTCCGATGATTCCGATCCGCTCCAGCAATCCACCTCGATCCAAAGTCACAAAAGTGAATTTTTGCTTTTTAACTTTTCGCAGAGAGCCAGCGACAACGGCGGCCATTGCAAACCTTACATATATCCAGAGCCGTCAAGGTTCCCAAATTAATCCCGACTTTGGTTTGCTCAGGCGGAAAAACTATGCTAATTTTTTTGTTCACGATCCTCCTCGTATCCTTGGCCTTTTGTTCATGTATTTGCATTATTTATATTCGATTAACTGGGTTGGCGCAATGCGGTTGCTTTTAACGTCTCCAAAGATATAATAAAAAGCACCACGAAATGGCCATAAAAAAGTATGATAATTCTGTGTGTAATCTCATGATTCCATGTTTGGCATAACACTTTTCGAATGAAAGACGTATTTCTAAATAAATTAGAAGCTGGGTAAATAATTAAGAAAGGGGTTTGTTATTTTTAAAGCATTAATTTTTTGTATGAAAAGATTCTTTCTTGGGTTTTACAATTACAACATAATAAATATTTAAATACAAATCAAGTAAATCGGTGGATTAAAGACAATTCCTAAATCTTTTAAAGATTATTAGATATATTTATATAAAATATATAAAATCTTTAAGGGAAATTTAATTTACGTAAAATGTAAATGTTTTCTAAGCATCTGAAAATATGACAAGTTCTTAAATTCAAAATCGAGATCTTCGAGTTCATTTTCCACCATCTAAAAATAAATTATTTTCCCCATTAAACCCAAGTAAATACCAGTATAAATTCATTTTGAAAACCTTTAGGTTTATTTTGAAAATATAAATTTTTCACAACTTATAGCTAATGATGTGAACTTAAAACTAAATTGTTTATAACTGTACAAGAAACTAGACTACGTTTCATGTCTCTAACAGGCAAAGTTGAAACTTTTGCGAATGCAAATCCAATTTTTTAAGGTAAGGTAATGAGGTGAGTGTGGCTTATGTTTGTGTTTTGTTTTTTAAGGCTCGACTCCTGGAGATGTCCTGGAAAGTGGTGCAAAGCGCTTCTTCCGAGATTATCACAGTTCCCAGCACTAGGAAGGCACTTCGAGTGCGGATCGTATCTGATCAGGATACAAAGGACTCTCCTCAGATCTTGCGCTGGCTGTACATGTCCGAGATGAGGCGCACAATGGTTATATCGCCAATGGTCTTCCGGAAGAACAGCTCCTCGATGGTGAAGCTGGAGATCTTGTGCATCAGCTGGACAACACCCAGCAGGGTTTGGAATCGCATGGGCTGTGCAGGATGCGTCCTCTGGATATAGTTGTGAAGAGCACTTCGGGCATCATTGTGCATGGCCGCCACCTTCGAGGACTCCAGCAGACCCTTCGATTCCGCCGAGGCCGAGGAGTTGGGACTGCCGCTGCCCGTAAGAATCGAGCTGTTGGCCAGATCCTCCGTGGAACTAGCCGCCGGCGGCGACTTACGGAACAGGGAAATGGCCCTCAAGCACTCGTATTCCGTGCTGTCGATATTGAGGTGGCATAGTTGGTTGAGCACATCCTGGAAAGCATGCACTTCGCGCGTTACCATGCCCATAATCTCACGATTGGCGTTCTCCGACTCGTAAACGAACAGTAGCTGGGCAAAGTTCATGGGCATGAGGTACTGGGCCATGGCCAGGATAAAGAACTCCTTCCAGGACTCCTCCAGCAGCAGAAGCTGATCGGGCATGGGCAGTTCCGTGAAGGCGCGCACACTCTTGATCCAGTTTACGTTCTTAAACAAATGCTCGGCGGCCGTCTCCTTGATGTGCTCCGCGGCCATTAGAGGAGGCGTTGGTGGCAGTGCCCTGGTGGCCAAGGCATTCATGTAAGCCGCCGTGGGTGAGAAGAAACCATGATGACCCTGATGGTGACCCGGATGATGTGGCACTCGGGGCACGGATAAATCCAACACAGCAGCAGCGGCGGCAGCTGCAGCAGCAGCAGAAGGAGGAGGCTGGAAGGCACCGCTCATGGCAGGATGATGAGGACGCTGAGGCAGGCCGGGCATGGGCATGGGCACTCCCGGGAATCCGGTCAAAGCAGCCGTGTTCATCAGGATTTCAGCGGGAATCTGCGGCATTTCGCCGGCACCCATCATTGCGTCCTTGTACATGGCCATGTGGCGTCGGAGTGTGGAGTTCCTGGGACCCCGTTCATGCTGCACCGCATCCTTGTTCATGCCCACTTCGAAGCACTTCCTCAGACGGCAGGCACGGCACTGATTCCGATGGGTTTTGTCCACCACACAGAGTCCCTGCTTTTGGGATTTGCAAACATATTGCCTGGAACGGCGAATGCTTCTCTTGAAGAAACCGGCACAGCCGTCGCAGGCATAAATGCCGTAATGCTTGCCGGAACTGTGATCCCGGCATACCTTGCAGGGAACATGGTAAAGGATGCGACCTAAAATGGTAAAAATAATAAATATAATTATTAGTAAGAGTTTTAACAATATGGGTAGAATTTTTAGATTTTTTAAAGCTTGGTTTTTGATTTGTAATTAGATTTATTTTGTTTGTATTTTTTATAAAACAAAATAAAGACTTTTGAGGATTTTATTCTTACAACATTCCAAGGCTTTTTTATTAAAATGTTTTTTATTATTATTTATTATTATTATTTATTTTTCTAGGTATACTTACTCGATGCCGCTGGCGACAGGCGCACGCTGTTGTATTTCTGATCCATCATGTCTGGCGAACCCTCCGACGACTGCATACCGATGTGGGGCGTAATTTTGGCGATTTTTTTTAAAACTTTTGGGGATTAACACGAGGTTTTTTCTTTCGATTTGATTTGCACTTTTTGTTGGCACTTGGCACTAGGCACTCGTATGAGATTCTTGCGAATATTGTTTGGTCTTTGAAATATTTGATATGGATATATCCTTGATTGCTCCGATGTGGACTCGCTGAGATCACGACGGTTTGTGTTGTCTGCTCTCAACACCGGCGGGTTTTAATAGTCCTTGCAAGCGAATCCATTCATCGAGCAGTCGATCACCCTTAGGTAGAGGAAGTCCTCGTTCATTGGTCGAATTTTTGGGCCCAGGGGTTGCTAACTCTCTGCCTGCTGGGTTGCTCTCGGGAGAATCCTTCGATCCTGGCGGGCTGCCATTGCGAAAAATTCATTGAGCAAGGATGCAGCAGCCGCCGCTCATTCTCAACTCCCTGGGTTTTATGGCCTTTTTCCGCAGGACTCGCTACCTGCTCTCTCTCTCTCTCTCTCTCTATTGCCCTAGCTACCCTCTCTTCCATGGCTCTCTGCTTCTCCAGGAGAGTCCTGCGACAGTTGTTAATGAAGACACAGCGGCGGGGACATCCTTATCCATATACCATCCTTCATGGCCGGTCCTTTATGGCGCTGCCATTATTGCCGCTTTGTGATTTGTGTGAAGTACCTGTGGGTTCGCTCCTAGTTATCCTGCCAGAGTCCTTTTCGAGTGGCGATTGACGAGGCAGCGAGCGAGCGAGCGAGCAGGGGTTGAATGCGCACTATTGATTGTTTTTCATTCAATAATTAGGTTTTTATGATGCAATCATATGAATAACAAAGGGACTCTTTAATAATAAATATAAAACAAATATTAATTGATTGAATAAACATAGTTGTAAAACTTAAAAATATGATTTTATTCACTTATTGAAGCAACCCAATCATTTATTTAAAAGAATCAATCGTTTCGTTCTGAAACTAAACTAAAGATATTCCTTAGAAGATACAAATTATGATACATAATCGTTATATAGTTTTTAGGTTGCTTATTAATTTTCTTCCACTTAAAAATATTTATAAATTTTGACTTAACTTATTTTAACTTAATACCAACTTCCCTAAATTCACCTTATATTTTACAAAATTATTGCTAATATATTTAGAATATTCTTATATTTCAGCAAGTTTTAAAGTATTTTATACATTTTACAAATTATGTTGTTTTATTTGCTTTTACATATTTTTCTTTTATTAAATAATATTATAAAGTTTATATATTGTTCGTTACACTTTCTAAATATTTATTTATTTGCATAAATTGATTCACATTGTGTATAGTTAAACTATTGTATTCATAATCAAATAATAAAAAAATCTCAAATGATTTTGCTTTTAATTTAACAACTTATTCGCAGACAGATATTAATCTCAGCTTAGTACTGTAATAAATTCATTAATTATTACGTTCAAAAAGCTGTTAATAAATTCTCCAAAGCTTCAAATAAAAATATACTAATATATCAATATACTACTTTTTTTGCAAAGTCTAAAATTATTTATAACATTTATTTTTGTACCCTTGCAGGGTATTATAATTTTAGTTATTAGTTCCAAATATAGTGAAGCAGTCATTTCCGACCCTATAAACCATATATATACTTGATCAGCGTGATCTGCCGAGTCTATCTAGCCATGTCTTACCAAAACAAAATTTTTGTCAATTTTTTTCAAAATTTTATAAGCGGTTACATCGTTAGAATTATCCAAAATTTACAAAATTGTAAAATAATTTTTAAATTTAAATTGAGTATGCAGATTTATGAACCTAATAAAAACTAGCACAGAGAAGTTTTCCGTATTGAAATTAATGGATTTTGGGCTTAGTTGTGATCAATTTAGGATTCGACTCGTTGGACAATTTCAAGCTGCAAGGGTATGTGAGCTTCAGCTATCTTAACTTTATGTATAAAGATTAAAATATGCCTAAACTATACATTAAATTCAATTCAATTAAAACTCAAAAACGTAGATCTAAATTAACAATAAACCGGCTAAAGTTGAATTGAAATAGGAGATATAGTAATATATATAGACATATCTTAGTAGTTCAGACTACTCCCTCTGGTAAGCCAGCTTAGGGTTGCCTTTTGAGAGCCCTCCGCCTGAGCTCGGATCGGATCGTCTGGGCTCTGATCGGCTTGGCTTGGAATTGGATTCATGGACTCAAGTGGCCAGTGCCTCTGATCTCCCGAGTCCGCGAGCGTCGGGCCCAGCCAAGTCCGGAGGACCCAATCCTAATCGCGTGCCGCTTAAGCAGATTACAGAGCATAGATCACAGATCAGAGATCACGGATCCCAGAAGTGCTGCCTGGCAAAAGGCTGCTGCTAGATCAAGCTTTCTCTAGCCGAGGATCAGTGGAATTCGAAAGAAAGACATTGCACGAGTACGCAGGCTACTTAATAATGTTAAGCAAGATCCCGCAAGTCTGGTGCGATTTGCTGGCCAACGATCCTGATCCCATAGTTCTGCCCATTCCCGATCGCATCCCGAAACGTGGGAACAGTCAGGGCGAAGATGCAAATGCCAGACGAGACTCATTTGATACATGACAGACACTTGAAAAGAGCAATTATATATTTCGATTCGTATTACGGATGCGTAACTTGATCAATAAAACGCTCGACATGATATCATCACCCCGGGGGTTGCAATTCCTCGTTCTAATTGGACTGTCCAACCCTTGATGTTCATGATGATGATGATGTACTATAGATTCTAAATAGTAAGTTGAGGGTGGTTAGTTGGAACTCAGGTGTGCTGTATGGGAATGTGCTTGCGTGCAATGCTATGCTGATCATTAGCCCAACTCCCTAGGGGGAGGATGCTCTACTAAACCAGATGACGATGACATATCAATTCCTGGACAATAACTGACCATTCGAAAGGGAACTTAATTGTGGGAACTCATGAATATTCATAGAAATAAATAGGAAGGAGGCTGCATCTCCAGCTGTCTGATCTTCCCACGCTGAGTCAAGCTTCGATGGGTGTCTCTTCAATTGTAGTTTATAGTTGAAAGTTATGAATGATAAAAGAGGTTATATCATACAATAAACGTTATAACTTTAGGAAGTCAGGGAATTGGTGCCTGCTGCAATTTCCCCTTTTCCCAATTCATTCACTTCAAGTACAGCTCCCGATCTTAATGAACTCGTAACGCCGGCGAGCTGCTAATCCGCCGGATTAGCGCTAAATCCACCACAAGAATTGAAACAGCAGTCACCGGCAGGTCACAATATCTCTCCTGTATATGATAATTTACCTGTGCCAGCCGCCCATTCAAGGACACACACAAAAAAAGTGAATTAAAAAATTCCTGGAAAATTTGCGACTTTTTAGCAAAAGGGTTACTTGTGAGGTACATAGAACTGAGAGTGTTTTACTTCATCTATTTAGCACCTTTTTGTCTTCGAAGAATGCAGGTAGCTACCGTTCACTTGGCTTCGATTTTTATGTCACTTTCGCTTTGGATTTTTATTATTCGCCTGGCGAGTGCAAGAAAGGGTTACGACGCCACACAACTAATTACAGTTCGGGCTAAAAAGAAAGACAGAATGGAAAAGGGTTAACTATGGCCCCGGGGAAATTCACTTCATTTACACATTGAAGGTGGAAAATTCCCTCGCTCGCTTTTATGGCCCAAAAGTTGCCGCCGTTCGTTCATTGAGCAGAGCAAGGATCTTCTCGAGGTACGAACTACTCCTACTCCGACCCAATGGTTATTCCCCAGATCGGATACCGATGGTCATTATGAATCGCGCCAGACTTTTGATGGGAAAGACCCGGAATGTCATTAGGTGAATGTTTTGTTCTAGTTTTATGGCTTGTCGCTATCTGGTGCACCACGGAAAACGTGGTCGGTTGAGTTTTACACATCCTCGTGGCACTGCATCGACATATTGCAGTGTAACCAGGCTAAGATTTGCATAAAAGAGTTAACAATAGTATGTGATTTAATATTATATAGGGAAGGGTTATTTTTTGCACTTCAAAGGGTGTATCTATTGTAATCACTCTTCCAAGTCATGTTATGTTTTCTCAAAGATTCTTAGCTCAAATTCATTTGTAAACCTCATAATTTGACAAGTTAAAATACTAATTAAATAAGAAAGTTAAAAACACATATATATTAAAAAAACGTTACTGAATATCCCCAGACCCCTATACATCATAAATGAAAACCCTTTCAAACAAACCGTCACCCAATCAATTTCCATGTCTAAATATGACAACCAACAATTATGTGTTTTTGGCGCCAAGAAGACAAACAATCCCAAGTTTTTGGCGCTGGGATCATGCAAATACACCCAGAAAGTGCGGAAATGGTATCCTTTGTGGACGACTTCCGTTGGAATGAGACAGCAAAAGTTCATAAAAGCAAAAAGCATGTCAAACCCAAGACGAAAAGTGCAAACAGAAACAGAGGGGAGATAACTCCGGTAAACGAGATCCACAGGAAGCGACTCGAAAATCACGTCAAACTGAAGTGCAAATGGGGTTCCCATTATCCCAACGGCAGGAAGTGAACTATTAGACCCTAAAAAAGAGACATAACTAGGAAAAGCGCAATAATTGAATCAGAAAAGTAGGGACGGAGGCGAAGATAAGCAATCTGATCTTGAGAAATCATGTGAACAATTCGAAAACATGAAATTAAAGTGCTCGAATGTCCTGGAGGACATTATGACGCAAAACCGTAGGAGATGCAGGCAGAAAGTTGAGCAACTCTGGTAGGGATCGGGGGTTCGAGCATCAAGGTTCCCAGCACTGCACGTGCAAAATCAAATCCAGATAAGTTTCATATTCGTGGCCGCCACGGAAACGCGGCCAGGACAATGGGACACACCTCCAGGACTGCCGGCCGAAGATCGGCGACTCCCGACAAAACCCGATATCCCAATACCCACTACCAATCCAAATCCGAATCCGATGCGAGATCCTC